TCTCTTTCTAAAATTACATTGTAGAGAAGTATGGAAGCATTCTTCTGGATTGGCCAACCACTAAAATTATTCCTGAGGTCAGTACTGCAGTTGCATGATACATACTACTAGTTATTTTTCAACATTTGTGTTTAACAATGGATTTAAATATATATATCATATTAAGTAGGAAGAATTATTATTATTGTTATCCTGTTTGGGTTTGTTGGGAAACCTAATAATTTTTCTAGTCATTAGTGTTTTTAACACCTAGCACTGTTGAATTCGACAACCCCTGACATGATGCTATCATGTTTCATCACAGCTAATATAAAAAAATAGGATACAATTAATTAAGTAAATGGGTGTCCCATGTTAGAATAGACCAGAAAAAAAATTGGAATTTTAATGGAAAATTTTTGGTACTGATTACTTTAACGAAAAATTATATTTTTATATTAAAAAGTCAATCCTGATAATATTAACTTTACCTTTTATTTTATCCTTAACATTAAAACTCAAAGTTTTCAAATTCTTTTCATTAATTTTTCTATAAAAAAAAATATAATATGATTTAATTTATACAATAACTACAACAACCAAGTTTTATCCTATTAAGTGGGATTAGGTGTATGATTCTTAGAGTGCTACTGCGCTCGATTTTGTACTAAGTTTGCCGTTAGCTCAAGGTATTCCATATATTTTTTTATAGTCAATTTCCAAGTTTTTCTAGGTCTTCTTCTACTTCTTTTGACATGGTCACATGAGCCTCAACATCTCATAGTTGCCTCTTTTAATCAAAAGATATGTAAATTTTCGGTTCACGTGTCCAATCAAACCACCTGAATAAACTGTTCGGTTTTTATAAGATGGATAAGTATACAATCAAACCACCCGAATATATTAATATGAGTCTTATGTTTCTCTTCACCTGCCACTGAAGACCGAAGTCATATTGAAGAGAAAAATTCATTAAACAAAACAACATTGGTTGAAAGCTCATATCACTAATAATAATTAGGGACATTCTATACAAAATAAGCAAGAGGAATCCGATGATAATCTTTTTTATGTTCAAAATGTAGAGCAAAAACGGAAAGAAAACATGTCGTATGTTCAAAAGATGACTTCCTCAGGATTTAATGAGGAAACCCTAATTAAACTAGTAAATTAGTAAACCCTAAACCCAGGAAAGTCTATATAGTTGTTGCAAATAATTAGCTTTCTCCAGTCATACTGCAGTTTTTCAACCTTCTTTAGCCAGGAAAGTCTACATTTTGTAAAGACCTTTAAGAATAATTGCATTTTGGATTAAAAAAAAAATAATGAATAATTGCTACACATATAAATGTGTAAGCTATCACATACCATTGATAAAATGAAAATATATCCGAATAAGCAAAGAAATCCATAAGAGAACCTCCAATAAAAGATGTGGGCCATCTCCAACCGAAGGATCCAGAGGTCCAGAGGGTCGAAAATAGCTCAAAAACCGTCTCCAACTAAGAACTAGGCCAGAGAACTTGTGGGCCCCACGGAATCTAAAAGGGCCAAAGGGCTGGCCATAAATTCAAAAAATTTTGTCAGTTATAACCAACAGGGATGCTTACAAAAAAATTTGAATCCAACGGCTAGCTGACTAGCCGTTGTATTCAAATTTTTTTTTTTTTTTTTTTTTTGGTTTTTTGGGCCTTTTTTTTTAATTCTTAAAAAATCTATTTTTTTTGGTTTTTTGGGCTAATTACTATTGTAGTTTTTAAATATAAGTTGTAGCTTTTAAATTTAAGTTGTTGTAGTTTTTAAATTTAAATAATAAATTAAGTTTGGCCTTATGACCCTTTGGCCCTCGGTTGGAGACGGTTTTTTGTGACAGGGCTAAAACGAGCCCTATGGCCCTTTGGCCCTTGGTTGGAGACGGAGGTAAATCCCTATATTGTTCATTAAAATCTTAATATCTTAGAGGGTCAGAGGGCTAAAACGAGCCCTTTAACCAACTCTCGGTTGGAGATGGCTTAAAATGTCTTGAAATGGACATTTTATATTTTTTTTTCATTGACGAAAAAACTCTTTAATGGCGAAATGTAATTTATTCATCCTCGACATAAGATATGAATAAACTATTTCAGCGTTCAATTATTGGGCTAATTATTGTTGTTTGGCGTTGTGTTAAGCTGTTAAGATCATTAATGTCAATGTCTTCCAACCGCCATCAAAAGAATATGCTAAAATAAACTACAGTTCATGTGTCAATGGTTACGTCTTTAAAACTGTAATACATAAAATGTATAAACAAGTTAACAGATAATGCTGACGAAGATCAAGTACACTAAAAACTATTGCAGATAATTTGACTAGTAGGAATGGCGACACGAACTTGGAGGTTGCTTCCTACTATGAAACACCTCTAAAAACTACTAGTGGCAGTTGGTCACGCAAACAGTTGCGTCTTCAAAGATAAATTATTAAGAATTAATTATGTATTACATAAATTAGTGGATATATAACTAATCATGCAAGACACGATTGAACGATTTAGACCTGAATAATGATGCGGTTAATTATTCTTCTCAATTCTTATCTTCAGTTTTGACCTCTTGGGTGTTGTGATTAGCTTAGAATGCTTGCATTATCATCCAACTGTAGTAATGATATTGAAAATGAATCTCATATTGATGGCAAAAGATGTAAAATCTTGTTCTGAATGTTAATGGATTACCGTTAAAGTCACTTAGCTCTCAAGTAACTTGCATATCAACTTACTTGATACTCAAGTGATCTTAAATGATTTGGTTAGTATCTCCTTCTTGTAATAGGCTAGATCGAAAAAAACCTTAAACATATAAACAGAGGTGTCCCTGTTCTCACACACATCCTTCTTCCCATTGTGCTAAACCGTATGCATAAAGCATAGAACATACTGAGTGATGAGAGTAGAAAATCTCCTCCCATTTGCCAGCCATGTCTTCATCTGCAGGTAACTATACTTGCAGTCGTTTCTTGCGAATATCAGTTTCCAATTTCCAATCAACAACGGGTAGATCTATAAGACATACACGAACGTATACTTAACAAGCAATACATTTATCAAATTCAAAATGGATTCGACCGCGGAAACGCACCGCGGTGATTGATTTTTCATAAGGATATTGAATAGTTACGGGTAAACGAGATGCACGTTTGTTTGAATCATCTACTGTAATTCTATATACATGTTGATGCTCTTATTTACTGTCTTACTAAAGGGATCTTGCATTGACGTATAAAGAGTTGGACTAGGATGTGGTCACATTCCCTTACCTAATTTCCTTAGCCCATCTTTGCAAAGAGGTTTTGTGTATGGGAACTATTATTAACACTCCAAAAATCTCATTTTACACTCCTCACAAGTGTAATTTTCTTACTAATTATAGAAAGTTTGGAGTGCAAAATGAGATTTTTGGAGTGCCAATAACAATTTCCTTGCATATTAAGAAGTCATTATTAATTTCTCGTAATGCGGTACAGTGGGATAATATTTAGAATTATGATTGATCAATAATCAATCCTTCAAAATTTTCAAATATAGCAATTTTTTTTTTTTTGATAGAAAAAAACAATGAATTTATCTAATGCATTTATTTGTGTTTATGGATTAAGATAGTCAATGAAGAAAGTTGAGATTCTACTAAATAACTAATTGGCAAAATAGAGAATAGTCCACACTTTATAAGTACATGCAAAGTTTAGTAAACTTCCTATGTGCGACATTTCTTCACATCCTCAATCAGCATGCACATTATTGTGGCAATATAACACAACTAGATTGGAACATTGGTATATAATGTCAAACACAATAGCATATATTTTGGGTCATTTGGGTAGTCATTTTCCAACACCATCTTTAACCTCTAATGCGCCTTTGTTTAATATTGGCCATTAATTTTGTTTAATTTATTCGATTCAATGTTCATAAATTAAGAGCGTGAGAAGCTAAAAATGGCGTGTTAAAATCACTTCCCTTCCAATTTTTAACTAGATTTGTGCTTATTTTTGGTCAAATTAGAACTCAAACATTTTTTTTATTACAATGATATTTGTTTATGCTACAAATTTATTTAAATTAAGAGACGAAAAATTTGTTCTAAGTTTCTCAAACTCACCTTCAATTTTAATCTTATAGCTTTAAACACTTCTCAACATATATAATCTTCGTCTTATCCCTTGTTTCTTATTCCGACATATGCGTTACTTGTGTAGAGACGGGCCTGTGCTTGCGTGGTTTTGAGGTAGGCAAGATAACTAGGGTTTGTTTCGAATGAGACAATACCTATAGTTGGATAAAGAAGATGAGGTTCAACTTTCATGCTACGTAGACGAGTATTGGATAGTTTGGATTCACAAGATCACAATAAAAATAATAATTCAAACCAATCTAAGTCATCTAATGCTCATAGCCTGAAATTTAATGCTCCATAGCATGAAAGAATTTTCAAGAAGGCGATGTACAAAGAAAGTTAAATTTTATCAAGTAAAACGAGAGCATTGTGGAAATATCAGAAAAATTATTTTGGGTGTCCAGGGAATGGTAATTGAATAAGTGAATCGTCAGAGGAACATGGTGTGCAGAAACAAAATTTTATTTGACAAACCATATGATATGTACACTGAAGACTCACTTGTTCTATTACCATTTTGTAGACGCTAAAACAATTTTTCCTAATCCTTCGACAATGCCTTCTTCCCATAGGTTTGAACCTGAAACACATCGGATTAAAGATAAATCTTTTATCTACCAGTGCAATCAACCGCTTGCATCCAAAGACAAAATTTGACGGTAAACAAAACTTTCCTTTATTAAAGAATAAAAAAAAAAAATTCAAGCAAAATCTATTTTCCGTGCTCTTCAAAAATTATGATGGGCCTTACACATCCAAAAAGCCCAATTTTCATGGCCCAGCCCAAAAAATGAAATAGTATTCAACTAAAACCTGAATATATCCCCCTTTCTCTCTCCTTATCTACGCTAACTCTCCGTCCCTCTGCTGCGAACTACGAAAATGGCAATGGCGCCGAGCCTCTTTCTCTCATCCAAAGCCCTAATACTAACCCCAAGACCTGCCATTTTCCCTCCTCCTCCTCAACCCTATTTCGCTACGCTCCGATTCAACTCGGAGACTCGGCCTTTGACTCGCTCCGTTCCCTCTAAGCTGCGCGTTCGAGCTGTGAACGACAGTGATTACTCGTCGAGGAGAAGCAGCAGCAATGAGCAGCGAGAGACGATTATGTTACCGGGATGTGACTATAACCACTGGCTTATAGTCATGGAGTTCCCTAAGGACCCTGCCCCAACTAGGGAGCAAATGATTGAGACCTACCTCAACACTCTCGCTTCTGTTCTTGGAAGGTACTTCTTCACCCTCTAATTGTCCTTCAATTTCTATGATTTAAACAGTTTTTGATTGTTTTAAAGGAAAATGGGTTCTGGGTTCTGTTTGCTTTGGGGGTAAATTTATATCTGTGGTAAAAAATTTAGTGAAATAGGGACAAGTATAAGGCTTTCTGGATTGTTTGATTTCGACTGGGAGTAGTTGTTGGATTTTCGTGTGCGGAGATAAGTTCAGATTGTGCGTAAATAGAATTTAAGTCCCAAATAACAAGTTGAATGAAGTATGCTTTGTAAATTTGTTCAATAGTTGCAAGGAAATGAAATGTTTATGTAGGTGATTAGGTTCTTAATCTGTTGGTATTAATATAGAACTAGAAAATAATTGTTAAATAATTACTAAGTAATGCAGTGAGGCTTGGAAATTGTAGTATTGGTTCATTACTTAGCATTGAGCAAGAGATTCTCTTTATTTTGGATGTAGTCTTTGTAATTTGTTGTATACTCTAGATAGTTATCTATCTTTTAATTTTGATTTAACTGCTGATACATTTTTATTTACGAAATCAATTCGTTCTCGTATTGTAAATCTCATCATCGTAGGCTAAAAGATTGGCGGTGTGGGACAATGGCATTGAATCATCTCGAATTAGTTTTGGTTGATGATGGTTAAGGCTCTGCTGGATTAGTTAATTTAAGATTGTTTAACTTAACCTGAACCTCTGGGTTTCAGTATTCTGCTAGTTTACGTACTTAGTGAGAGTCGCTTAGTTATTAATCTCACAACCTCCCGTGGTTCTTTATGTTACAGCATGGAAGAAGCAAAGAAGAACATGTATGCTTTTAGCACCACCACCTACACTGGATTCCAATGTACTGTATCTGAAGAAACATCTGAAAAATTCAAAGGTAGGCATTGTAATCGGGTGCATCTTTGTGCAATTTTCTCGTGTAACAGTGAATTTGTAGAGCTAACTTGGTTCATTCTGATGCAGGATTGCCTGGTGTTCTCTGGGTGTTGCCAGATTCATATATAGATGTTAAAAACAAGGATTATGGAGGTATGTTTTGTTGCAACAAAGGGTTTGTTTTACCGCTTACGAATCAGTATAATGATTTCATCTTGAGGGCTATTTATAGGTGATAAATATGTTAACGGAGAGATAATTCCTGGAAACTACCCCGTTTATCAACCAAAGAAACGAAGAGAATCAAAATTTGAGAGCAGAAGATATGAAAGACGAAGAGATGGACCTCCTCCTGAACGAAGAAAACCAAAACAAGAAGCAACTCCATCAGAATCAGGATCTGGATGAGGTAATCAGTATACCAGAATGCCATTTATCCAAGCATTTGTTTTGTTCTTTTCAAGTTGTTTTTAACTACAATTTCCATTACTCCACAGTTAATGAACGTGGGACTGCAAAATCAAGTAGTACTTTATGAAACAATTAGTGAAGGTTGTCCAATGGAGGAACTCATCCAGGGGTGCACGTATCTGTGCTTAGATTTTTCTGGTGAAGTCTTCTTGTCGTCTGCTTGGATAAGGAATGGTGTCATATGAGCTTGTTATCAAAGACATCAGTATTTGTGAATTATTCGGTAGGTCCAGGATGACCTTTGTGATATTGTTTTTGCATCGACACTAAGAATTTCAGTTCAGCTATATAGTTGAGTTTAGTTGTACGGATGTTTGATTTAATCTTATGATTCTATTTTCTGATCTTGCATCGATTTAACTCTTCTGGTTACGAAGCTCATCTCCCTTTATCTTTCCTTATCCTTGCGGGTGTTCTTGTGCATCTGGGCGCTTAGCACCAAATGCTAATACCGCTATCGTATGAGGTGCTTAAACTTGTGTCCATGGTAGTCATGTGTATTGATTCTTCCGTGGCGGGAACTCCACCCCTATCTTCACTTGGTACTTCACAGGAGCATGATTTCTTCAACTGAGACTGTCTTTTCTACCTTCTGTATAGTTCACGTTCATCGAGCGTGCTTCTTCAAGATAGCTAGCTAGCATCGAGCAACTGCGAAGAAAACCATTATTCGATCGCGTTGCTACATGTACATTATATTCAAAACTCGATTCTCATTGCGCGCAATATTTGTGTATGCAACTAAAAGCTAATATTTGACCAAAAAGAATGTCACAAGTTAATATCTGCTTGCAGTGGAAAAAGGTGTTAACTTTGACGTACATGCTCGTGGCTTTTGCTTATCTTAGAATAGCTAGGGTCTACGGATGCATTGAAGCAATCCGTTCTCTTGGTCACCTGATGAACAAAGATATATGATCATTCATTTTTTGATTTGATATCAAAGATTGAGATTAAAACATTAAAAGTACATCTAATTGTATTTTACTTCTAATATCAAATCAAAGGAAGTGTGACCATATATTCACTTCTACCGACTCTGATATTGGAAATTGGGTGCAGTAATATACAAACAGAGAAACCTCGAGCATCGAAATTCGCCAATAACCAACTTATTGCAAGTGAATAAAAAGGAGGAAAATAAGTTAAAGGGCAACTACAAAACAATTTTTGTTTAAAATGTTGATTGGTTTGTGAAAAGAAGAAAGATCTTCACCATGAAAAGACAACGCAGTGAAAGCAAAAGGAACGTATTTCTGATAGGCTAAGATGCCATCAGAAATTCACAACACAAGCGTTCAAACCTGTGATATCTGTGAAGGAGTATCTGATGGTGGATTCCTTGGGTGGACAAAGCTGAGAGGGTACGGTCCTCCAGGCATGCAAATGATGAAAACTTAAAGGCAAGGCCTGTAGGTCCTACCAACAACCTCTTTTGAGTCCATGAGTCCGCAGTTGATTTTTGCTAAATTTGAAGTGTGACGTGGGATTACCACTTAATACAATAGTTTAGTAATATTCATCTTTACTGATAAGTGAGAGATTTTATATTAAATTCTCTTCAAAGACAAATTTAACTTCATTATTGCTAGGTCATTATGAAGTTTATACCACTTCCTTATCCCCTGAAGACTTGCTATCCCGGTAAGCAAACATATTTTTTGCCAGTTATTAAAAGTTGTCTTTCTCAAATTTTTCCAATTATTAAATAATGAAATACTAAAAAAGAAAGTTGAATGGTGGAAAATAATAAAACACTAAGAGTTGTAGAGTTTGTTGAACTGTAAAATTGTCAAGTAAAAAACTTTAGTCTTCAACTGCAACAAACTTGTATTTAAAGTAGTAAAATTTGCGTACTCTCTTGGAAATGTTCTTATTTGTAAGTTTAAATTTAATGTAATTTCGGTGTAGATAAGGAGTGGTACCCCTGGATGTACATCGAAGAATTTAACGACTTCTAATGATGCATACTAAAAAATTTTGCCAAATAAATCAACTAAAGGGAGAAATTCTTTAATGCGGCTGCTATACCGCTTCCACATCCTTGTGAATGTGTTGCGTATACGTGAGCCGCACAATAGAATTTTTCCACTAGGGCACCATCGAGGCACCGGGACCTAAGGGCTAATTAACAAGCAATCTACAGTTGAAAATCACTCAACATGAAATCTCCATTCCATGAAAACAGATATAAAAGTTGTTGAAAGGTGAAACTTTATGATGGTTGTGCTGGATGAATTGACCCAGGTAGGGTTACATGGTTGTATTTTTGTCAAACGAAGACAAGTATCCAAGGGGCGTCCAAATGCTTGTTGAGTTGGAAGAGTTGATATATGTTCCTTGCGGACTTACTTCCATCCAATATTCAAGGGAGGAGGAAGAATTGGTCCTAGTCCTTGTAGAGTTGGGGGCTCGCATAATTTGGTCGAGGTACATATTTAGTGAAGTTAATAAACGTTCTATATCGGAGAATTAAGAAATCTTGCATGAACTTATTATTAAAAAAAATATATTTATCTCTTTAATTCGGTTAATTGATTTCGTGGTGAAACTCCAACTTTTAATGTCTTTGTGACTATTAAATTTCTTTGCATTGCAACGCAATTTTAATAGCTTTGACCTCTTGACTACACAAAGGGCGTTCCAGATGAATACTAATTTAACCTATGAGTTCAAAAAGCTAGCTTTAGATTTCCTTGAAAAAAGAGATGATAAACTTTCAACTTTCCTGAATCAATTTGTTCACATGGGGTTGATTTAATAGAGTTCCATAAAAGGACTCGTCAACTATATACGATTATCAACCAGCACAGGGTGGTTTAATGATTGAGAATGAATTTTAAGTTCGTATTTTACATAGCATGTTTTGAATTCGACTCTTGATCGACGTTGATGAATCAAAAGATAGTGGTCAAAAGAAGGCTAAAATGCCTTTGTAAGTCTCTTTAGCCTTGAAAGAAAAGATTGTCATGACGAAGCCATCCTCTGTTGATCCTTTAATAAAATAAAAATAAAACTACATATGATTATCAAAGTATTGACATATCCTATGTTTTTTTTTTTTTTTTTTGTATGCAAATAATATTTTGTGCTAAATTTATTAAATTATGATAGGGGGACTCGAACTTAAATGCATAAAAAACACACTACTATAATCAACTTGAATAAATCAAAATCTACTCTTATATGCCCCTTGTAAAACACAGTTACTCATATTTTGGGATGACTTAAATTGTACAGTCCTGGGTGATACAAAAATTGAATGACCGAGAATAAGAATAATATGAAAAATTGTCGATTAAATCTTATATACAAAGATTTAATAGATAATTTTAACAGTATATTTTACATAAAACTCGTACTACATGTGACATAGGCTTTTAACCCAATCCGATTCATACATCAAGGATCAATAATATAGAAGAAGAAATGACGCGCATGTCATGCATGGGACCTGCAAGCAAACACTTGCGCGCAACAGTCAAACTAAATTTTATTCATTGGCAACACAACAGACGATCACTGACAGGATATTTTCATAGTGGGGCCTGGGGGAGCATTTACCAGGTAACTTTTAATCATTGCCTCGTAGAAATTTTTTGTCCATTGTTCAACGCAGGTTTCTTCTTTCACTGTGCGAGTCTTCAGTGGCAAAATAGACAATATGTAATCTTTATGGAGTATGATTCTCTCTCGTCCCATTCTCATTCCTTTCATTTCTCTCCTCTCATACTATATTTTTTATCTTATTATCTCTATAAAAAAAATCAATATAAAATATTGACATGATTTATTCGTAACCGTTCAAGTAGGAAGGAAGAAAAGATGAAAGAAATTAGGAGGAGAGGAAATGGAAGAGAAATTTGGAGGGGAGAAAACCCCCTCCAAACTTCATATTTTTTTATCTAATCCACCTATAAAAATTATGAGAAATTGTTGAGGTTATAAATTCTGCATTAGAAATATAAGGAGTTCCACTAGTTCTTATATTGTAATTGTTTTTTGATAGAATTTGAATTTTCTTCTTGCAGAAAAAAAAACTTGAGTGGTAATTTACTGTCGTGCAGCATGTAAAAATCTTGAGTTAAAACATAATAATTGTTATATAATTCAATTTATAAATGAATTAAAAGTTCAAAAGACACGTGTTATGTTTCAAATGAATGATGTTTATCACATACCACCTGGCAATATTTAGACACACTAGCCACATGACATCAAATGAAATTCCCTATACAAGTGTTTTTTTTCTTCTTCCGTAGATCAACACGAATTTAACAGTAAAGGAAAAGAAAAGGGTATGCAGCAAGTTCTGCACTTATTGGTTACCATCCCTTCTCCGGTTGCAGAATTCATGTGAGGGACTTCCTGGATTCTGACTTTTCCACTGCACAGATGGAGCCGTTACTATCTGGTTAATTAATATACACTCAATTTGTTCTTATGGGATTGTAGGATGTCTGAAATACCCTTACACGCTAATAGTAGAACTCTTTCAATTATTTTTGGATGGAAATATGTACACGGTATTTTAACTTTGATTATGTACACGGTCTAAGTTTGATTAATATACCTGCCCTTAAATTCGGAAGTCTCTGTTCAATGAGTTTCTTCATGTACTCTCTGCCACCTTACAGTTTTTTTCGTGAATTACCATGCCAACTTTATAAAACATTATGCAAAAATATAAGGTAGCAGAGAGTCCCACATTTGAAAGAGCCCCAACAACATTTCGGTAAAACAGCCAAATGTAAAAAGAGAAATACTACGAGGACTCTCTCAAAAGTGGAAGTGCTCTATGGGCTCTCTATCACCTGATGTTTTTGCATAATATTTTATGATGTTGGCATAAAAATTAACTTTATATTGACTCTCTGGAAACGCAAATGGACTCTAATGTCAAAATACTGTCACTTTGGAGAAATTTTTCAGTGTGCGAGGAGCACAATCTGGTACATTAAGTGTCATAATACAAGTTTGGTGACTTGAATTTTTTTTTTCTTCAACCAATTGTGTTATGACACTTCGTCTACCGGACCGTGTTTCAGATGTATTAAAAAATCTATTGTTACCTTGAGTTACTTGTTAATTAATTGAGAAAATTGGAGTATTAATTTCTAAATTTTGATCTAATTAGAGCTTTATTTATTGAATTAAGTACTTGTCACGATGTGTATTAACAATCCTTTTGTATAATATCATTAGAACTTTCGTCCAAAATAAAAGAAAATTAAGGGACAAAAATTATAAAAGTGTGACAAATATAAAGATCGAAACTCCAATTAAGTCATAATCTAAAGACTAAGGCTCTAATTTTTTTTAATTAATAGTTAATGAAATAATATATATAGTCATACTGTGTTGTCAATTTTTATGACGAAATGGCCAGCAGGAGGTCCGTTGGCTGAGCTGTTTGGACCACCTACACACCTTTTATGGTACATTTTCTTGTATTTAAACGATACTTAGCAAATTTAATAAGAACAATAATGCTCATACATGATTATTAGGTCATGAAGACTGTACAGACCGCCACATTTGTCTTTTATTTTGGCACTTTTTAGTTTTTAGTTGGATTTTATAAAGAAAAAATAGTTAAGTACGAATCATTTGGTTCAAAATGATAGCATTCCTAAAGTTTTACTATACGATGTGAAATTAGGTATTTCGTGAAGCTAACTTTGTTATGGGTGTAGTTACAAATCTAGGTATCACTCGTTATATAGTCTCTTTAATCTTGAGAGCACTGCTACCCGCCTGTTTCCGTTGTAATTTCTTTTATAACTTTGTTCCACTATATTAGATTCTGTTTGTAACTTGAAAATACTTTGTTCTTTAATTTTTTCAGCCAACAAAACAAAAAGATCATATTTCGAACAACATAACTAGACGGTGATTTATCAACCAAAGTGAATTAACAAGAGCAGACCCATTCAATGGCAAGGGCGGACAACTCCCCACTCGGCCTTGAAAAAAAATCCCATTATTGGTGTTGGATTTTTGTCACCCAACTGCTGGGCAAGGCAGGGTGCTACGCGGCTATAAATCTCATCTTTGACTTGAAATCAACAATCATTTTTGTCTTTTTATCCTTTCTATTTCAAACTCAATTCACAAATATTATTCGAATTCACTCGAATTTCTCCATCTTAACTTTCTTCCTCAATCATTCAGACGACACCATTGCTTAAGACTCGCTTGCCAACAAAGAAAAATGAAGGCAAGAACTTCATAACAAGTTTCAAAGATGTACCTCAGTTAAGTTGCTCCTACAAAAGCTTACAGATAATTAAACATTAATTAAGGTTGAAGTAAAAAACTACAACTAAGACTGAGATGGAATACATGATTAGTAGGTGACAAGAAAATGTAATATAATATATTATGGTGTAGAATGTAGACATACTAGATACAACTTTAAGAAACAATTTAGTACATGAGCAAGCAAGACAGCGAATGGTTAAGCTAACTCCATAATTAGGGGCTACAGTACAAGATAATTAAGCTCATTGCCCCCGCCCCCACCTCCACCTCAAAACAATCACCAATCTAGGGCAAAATAGTAAATTCACACACCAGTCCTCCTTTAATAAACAGTCTTTCGACTTTCCAACTCTCCCAAATACATATCATCATCCCTTAAAATCCACACACACACACACTCTATCTGTCTCTCTAGGCATTTACCATCCAAACCATCACCATGTCCCTGTTTAACACCCGGTTCTCCTTCTTCTTCCTCACAGTCTTTCCATGGACCTTTCTCCTCTTTCTCTCTCTACCCTTCTCTCTCTCCTCCACCAACATCCATGAACTCCTTATCTCCCAGGGGCTTCCACCTGGCCTCCTCCCAAAGGAGGTCAAGTCCTACACTCTCTCAGACAACGGGGAGCTCCAGGTCTTCCTTGATGCCCCATGCCTCACAAAATATGAGAACAGGGTTTTCTTTGAGAGTGTTCTGAGGGCAAATCTCAGCTATGGAAGCCTCATTGGGGTCGAGGGTTTGTCTCAGGAGGAGCTCTTTCTTTGGCTGCCGGTCAAAGACATCATTGTTGATGATCCAAGATCAGGTCTCATTCTCTTTGACATTGGGGTTGCTCACAAACAGCTTTCTCTATCACTCTTTGAAGATCCCCCTGACTGTAAACCATCAGGTAATCAATTCACGGAAAATGATTTTCACACGACCCTACTTATTTTTGTATTGATTCTCCTTTTATTTATTCAATCAAACAACGGATATATACAAAAGTTTCTGGGGTGAAGAGTAGGGTGCGTAGAAATTACTGATCTTAATTCATTTCTAATTTTTTTTTCATTTAATTATGTTTTTTAAGTTCTGTTTGTGCAGTTAATCTGTAACATGTGTTGCAGTTTCTATTGATGTTGGTTTCTGGGTTCTTTTTTTTTTTTTTTTTTAAGGATTTTAATCTGTTATGTCTCATTTCTGATGATAAATATTGTGCATGTTAGTGTTTCATATGTTGGAATGACTTGTTTTTTTATTTGTTGTTCTTTGTTTGTTTTATTCCTTAAAAGAGATATTTTTTCTTTGCCCTTATTTTCTGTTCCTACACATGATGTATCAAAATTTCCCTATAAACAATTAAAAAATGATAATATTGGTAGAAATTTCCTGTATAAAAACAAAAGAAACAAACTTTTGTTGTTGGTTGATCTTTTGAGGGAATTGATTAGGCTTCTAGCTAGCTAGCATTTCATATTATAAGTGTGCTAATTAATATATACACATACACAACCGATAGTCGAAAATACTAAGATTTATGGATATTTTTAAGTGACCGCTTAGTATTAAGGTTCAATAGTATTTTTTTATTTCAGATTTAATTTTTGTTAAAGGTAAACTTAAATCACATTATTGCTAGTTTTATTGTGAGGCTACACTCACCATTTCCCCTTTAATGTAAATAATATCGTTTATTCAAAAGAAAAAAAAAAAAAAAAAAAGGCATTTTTAAGCAAGTATATACAACATAAATACTATCACGATCTACTAACCAAACTCACGTCTGCGATAAATATTACATACTTTTAAAGTTTGCGTGTAAAATGGTGGTCTTGATTCTTGAGCGCCTAACAATTTTCATGTGACTGTTTGCAGGTGTGCTGAAGAATCATGTGAGGAAGAAGAAAGGCCTTTGGGGTCTCAGATAGGGAGAGTAGAGATGCCAACTTGTTTCCAACTATGTCGTCTTCTACTTCTATGTTAATGCAATTTAATATTTTAATTAGCACTAAGTGTAACTAGGTCCAGGTTAATTGGCTTGATATTATTAGAGGGTTTTGAGGAAGGAGATTGTAAAGATGTGAACTCCTTGAATCAGATTAACGGTTCTCATTAATCTTCTAACTTTTTTGTTTGAAGAATTACGGTGACCAAGTTTTTTTTTTTAAAAAAAAAGTGGGATAAACATCACAATAGTCTAGTAATGATGTAGTTCAAATAGCTTTTTGCGAGAATTGATTCTAATATATCTCACTTACAAATGAAGAGGGATATTATTACACCGTAGTATTAAGTGAGGGTAGCCCAAGTTTTTAAATTATGTGATGTATTACCAATAGAAAATAACTACGTCACCAAATCAACAATAATTATGTCATATGGTTTATAAAATATAATTTAAATAGGCTTGTTATCTAATTCGTCGGATCCTCTTTATAAGGATTCTAGAAATTCTTAAATCGTGTCCGTTCATTGTAAATCGTGCGGTTTTCATCAGATACAATTCATATTTAATTTTAAATAAAAGTATTTAAAATAATTTATAACCGTACGATGTATTATGAATGAATACAATTAAGGATTCCCGGAATCCTAATAAAGAGGATCCGGAGAGAATCCTCATTCTAATTCTTATAATCTATTTGATTAAGCGAAGCAAAAGATCAAATTCATTTATTTCCTTCGGCTAAATTATATTATATTTTCATGTTTGACTTGGCAAGGAAAGAATTTTTGTTTTTGTAAAGGGAATTATGATTGGCACTTTAAAAAATTTATTTTACACTTTAAACTTTCTATATTTAAAAAGAAAAATACATTTATAAAATGTGTAGAATGAAACTTTTAAAATACCGATAACACTTTCTTTTATAAATAGTATTTCTATTAAACTATTCTCTGTGCCGAATCTGCCGACTCTTCATCTGCTTGGTAGTAAGTGAGCCACTTTGAAACTGTCAATCTACATCCTACTCCTGGTTCAAAATTATAGAGGCTAATTATACTCTTCTGTTTGTTTTGCTTTTTTGTTTTTATTAATGATAGAGTTGATGGTTGATAGATTATTTATCTGAAATTTATTTTGCAAATAGTATAATATGGTGGTTGATAATTGAATTTCTTCTTTAAATTATAAAAGAAATAATTCAATCATCAACCGTCTCATCATGGGTCAATAAAATATAGTTTAAGTTGATAGTATTGTTAGCATCATCTTTTTTGTGTAATACTAGGAAGACCATCAATTTAAATCATATGACGTAGTTGTTAATTATTGGATTCTTAAGTATTGAATAACGTGTTTATTTACTATTGGTAATATATCACATAATTTGTAAATGTGTCTACAAAGTTGTTCTACCTGGCATTACTCTCTTCCTAATATTAAATCTTAACTATTTATTAACACCTATTTCTCCACATCACGTGGTGAAATGACAATTTGATCTTTTATCACAAAATAAAATATTAGGCAGTAATGTATATAAATCAAATTTTACTATTTTTAATCCTCACTTATATGTTATCATAGTATCACTAATTAAAAATAGTAATAAAAAAAAACCCCACAAACACTCTCTCTCTCATTTCTCTCGAACTATTTTTTTTTTTCTGGAATTGTTATTGACATTCAAAAATCTCATTTTGCATTTCAAGTTTTCTATAATTAGAAGGAAAAACACATTTGCTAAGAGAGTGGAATGAGAATTTTGGAATAATAATAACAATTTTTTTTTCTTTTTAAAATTTTTATATTTACACACACAATTTCATCTAGTAGTAGCTTTGCAAATGGCCCTCTACTACAATGATGAAGATAAGTACTGTTCTTACACTACGGCGTGAGTTCAAACTCCGTTAACTCCTTAATCTAACATCTAATCTAGTAATAGCTTTAAGGAAATTAATATTTGGGTACTCAACGAACTATCCAATTTGTTGACAATCTCATGAGGCCACTAAAACTTTAACACCTATAATATCAAACTATATCTTGCTAACCAAACATCCACCACTATTTTTGAACCTATAACCAAACACCATGTTTCTTCTTCCTTCCCTTCCAAACTGCCATGACATATCCTACCGTGGTTCTTCGTCTACCCCACCAACCCATGCCCATCTTCTCTTTTAATCTGACGCTTTAGAGCATTTTTAATGGAGATTTAAGATACATATACATATTTATTTAATGGCTAACATGGTAATATCAAATTTTTTGTTTCTCCAACTCATATATATATATATATATATATATATATATTATAAATGATATTGATAGGATCTATTTTAAAAAGAAATCAATTAAATTAAATTTTCAAGATTTATGATTGGTGCATTAATAGGACCATACAATTAAATAATTAAAAAAAATTAATTGACAACACCTTTTCTCATATTTCAAAATTGATCACAACAAAAAATTCATATGTCAATCTACATAAGATTGACATATCAGTTGGAGCTTATTTCTACTTTTAAATTTGATTGCATGATATTCCACTTAAGATTTGTATTTGGATCCAAATTTACACCATCGGTGTCACATCCCGGCCTGGGCGGGACCACTTCCCGGACTCAACTCCACCGTAGCACGATATTATCCACTTTGAGCCCTGACCACACCCTCACAATTTTGTTTTTGGGAACTCACACGAGAACTTCCCAATGGGTCACCCATCCTGGGAATGCTCTTGCGCGCTACTCGCTTAACTTCGGAGTTCTCATGGAACCCGAAGCCAGTGAGCTTCCAAAAGGCCTCATGCTAGGTAGAGATGAGAATATACATATAAGGATCACTCCCCTGGGTGATGTGGGATGTCACAATCCACCCCCTTTAGGGGCCCGACATCCACGTCGGCACACCACGGTCAAGGTTAGGCTCTGATAGCAAATTGTCACATCCCTGCCCGGGCGGGACCACTTCCTGGGCCCGATTCCACCGTAGCACGATATTGTCCGTTTTGGGACCCAGCACACCCTCACGGTTTTGTTTTTGGGAACTCACACGAGAACTTCCCGATGGGTCACCCATCCTGGGAATGCTCTCGCGCGCTACTCGCTTAACTTCGGAGTTCCATTGGAACCTGAAGCCAGTGAGCTCCCAAAAGGCCTCATGCTAGGTAGAGATGAGAATATACATATAAGGATCACTCCCTTGGGCGATGTGGGATGTCACAATCGGCCCGTGCAATCAAGGCCGTTAAGTGAGTATAGCTCTTAATAGTCAGAAGAAAAGTGAAGATAATTTTGTTATTATTGAAGGATAATATTATGGTTTTTATCATAATAATTATCATTTAATATGATTGTTTGAACCCAAATTTATATTTTCGACCCAAGCAATCGAGACCGTCAGATGATTATGAAGAATTCTAAACGTTGGAATGTGATCAACTTTGTACCCAAAGTGCAGATCAAAATCAATGACTTTTCTTCTTCCGCAGGTCTGTTCGGGATTCTCGTATTGGAATTTTTAATTATATTGGGAGATTATCATCCAATAATTCAAGCACGGAGGAGTTCAACCAGCATGGAAGAATCATAGCCACCGAGTATGTGGCAGGATGCCAAGTATTTTAATTAAAAGGGATTAATGAAGTTGCATGCAGTATCACATCCAGGAAAAGGTAGGATTGCATACAAGATGAGGAGATAAAGTAGGATTGTATCAAGTGGCTACAAAGGGACACGTGGATTTTGAACGATGGTGACGCGATTAGGATTGAATCTTTGAAGAGGATTGTATTGGAAGGTTAGGATGGCAAAGATGGGATCAAGCTTTGATTGATGTGATAAGGCGTGGACTTATGTGCATATAAGATAAAGTTTTCAGAGATCATTTATTATTGTGATTATGCATGGGATAAGTGCGTGGTCAGCAACACCGATAAAGACTCAGAGTCACAGTGCAATTGGGATTAGTTTTCACGACTTAGGCATGCAGGTCTCTATAAGACGATTAAAAGCTCACTTCAATTCAATACACAAATTGCCATGCGCAAACCTCTCAAACATCTTGAGATTTTTTATTTTCTTTTTCCACCAACACACCTTCAGTTTGGATAAATGGCACTATGAAGGCAACCGGCGAACATCTTCAGTTTGGATAAACAACACTGCGTCGAGGGCGACTGGTTACCTATCCAAGTCTCGGTCGAGAAGGGTTTCCAAATCCTTATTGGCAGAGGTCGTCTTATTAGCCTTCTCGGCGAAGTAAGGTGTTACAAGTTACTACATTTGGCACATTGAACGTCGAGTGATTTTATGATTGGATACTCACAAATGAGTTTCAGAGTTCGGCATTCTGACGGTCAAACCACATTTACCATCAAGACGTACATCTCTTTTAAGTACCTGTGTCTGTATAGTTTGGAGTTGATTTAACGTGCTTATACTCTTACAGATATAATCACCGTGACCGTACCCAGCGGCAACGATTTGTGAACTTCGTAGAACTAGCAGCCTTGTCTTCAGGCTCGAGAACCCGAAGGCCGAGACGTGTTCCTTCCTCGTTCAACGTAAGATCAACAAATTATACTCTTTGGCCGAGCTCAACCAAGCTTGGCCGACGAGTTGGCACTCCCCGCATCAACTGAAGGATGTAGCTAGCTCATTAGTTACTTGGTCTGCGCGGCACATAGACTTTGTAGTTTTTAGGATCAACAATTTGACATATTTTTTGGAGATGGTCTTACTTGTCACTAATAATTCTTTCATCAACATATTCAGCAACATACATTCCTGTTCAATTTTGATCTAAAATGAAAAATCCGATTCATAAACTCGTTTTCTGCGATTTTGGTTTTCGATTTTGGTTTGGGGTTGGGTTCTTGGTGCTGGTTTAGCTTTGTTTCAAGTGAAATACCATAGCAACAAAAGTTGTGGTGATGCTCTCTAGCTTCTTACTACGTATGGCAGAAAACACCAGTTTCACTTTTGATAGAGTGAAAGCAGAATGTTGGGGATTTGTGTCTATCCATTACATAGATCTCAAAATTAAAACTTATCTAATGATGATACATGTGGTGAGCAAAAATATGCCCGACAAGTTATATATTTTGTGAGTTAAAGAAAGACATGTGTTGTTTTCTTGTTGTGCCACGTAACAAGATTAATTTATTGGGTACCGACCGGTCAGTACTCAAGTATTATTATTAAACAAATGATAATGGTTTTGAAATTTAAACTTGAAGGCGTGCATGTTTGCTAGGTAGACCAAACCTCAAAATTAAAAATTGAATATGGAAGGTAAAGTATACTATTTTAGCAAACTTGACAAGGTCTGCGACAAGAGTTTTGAATTTGTTTTTTTTATTTTTTTGAAAAGCTAAATCATTACCAACGAAGCAATATTATAGAAAAGGAGGTCCAAATACAAAAAAAAAAAGAAGCACAAAATAGAGGAATGACCCAAATGCAAAAGTAAGCACAAAACATAAGAATGGACCCTCTATACAAACAAAAGTTAGAGCCCAATACAGAAATTGGAGCCCGCAGCAGAAAAAACCAAAACACAAAGAAGCCCCATCAACTTCTGCTATCTCTCTAGTACTGTCGTCGCCAAAAGCTTGAACACCAGAGGGGGGGATTGAAGCCTGGACAGGAGACCTGGAGAGAATGGCGTTGTAGCATCTTACCAGGACCAGCAACCAACGTCATCATCAAGCAATCAAAGGATGGGTCAAATGTGACCCATGAACTACACAACTCACCACCGCAGACGTGAAATCCACAAATATGGTAAGGTGAGATAGGGGCACCAGCATCAAACGAATACAAGAAGACATCAAAAGCAGTAGGCCCAAAAGAACAAACATCCGATAGAACCTTAATCCCCATAAAATACAAGCCACATGTCTCTGGCTGGCAACTACCGAAATAGTTTTAGTTTGAGTGTTTCATTGGCACTGGATTCTTTGGGATGGGCCTCATTGTCCTAGTTGTTTTAGCTCGTGCAAGTTTATTTTGATTTAAAACGTTGGTGTTCTGATTTTTTGGGAGATAAAATTAAATCCTTATCAACACAGGCAAATCCCAGTGCGGGTAAATGAGTAGCAATTCAAAGAAAAGCACAATGGGCAATGGGGATAGGCCTCAATGGTGTTGGCCTCAAACCGTTGAGTTCAAAATGGAGAAGTTTAAAATACGTATATGTTGTAGCTGAAAAAAAAAATACATATTTTGATGGTTCCGTTCTTCTAAATTTTATGATTTAAGGAAATTATGGTCACTCAACGTTCGATCTTAATTCACAAATGAGTGGTAATTTAACTTTTTTTTTATTGTACTTTCTCCTCCATTGTTGAATTAAAATCGACTAAACCATGATTTCTTTGAACCATGTGAGTAGGACGCTGCATTTTGAATACCAATATATATATAGAAAATGAATGAAAATCGGAATGAAAAAAACTTGATGTTCATACTTCCATGTAAAAACCTTTTATATAGAAAACCCTAAAGAGAGCTTAAACTTATGGATAAATCTCTCCAATAAACTTGAATTTAAAATAATATAAATTTTGAATCTTGCACACTTAAATGAATAATGATAATGCTAAATCAGAGAAATCAAGATAATTCTATTTAAACATCTTTCTTGCATGTCACACAATAAATCTTACCTATTTTATATCTAATTAAAAGAAGTTAAATAAAAATTCTAACTAAGAAAAAATAATTTATCTTCAAAATTTTCTACCATGCACCAAATCGTTGTGTCACTAGTATACACCAGCGTTTTTAGACTGTTGAATTTCTTGAACTTTTTGACCAAATAAAAACATTACCTTTAATATTGAATGCATACCGTACATCGAAACATGATAAAATTTTACTTTCTTTCTGTCCTCATTTGACTATTCGCGTATCTACGACCTCTGTTTTTTAATTTCTAGTTCTTGGTCTAAATTATTTTTAAAATTAAACATAAAACCTTAAAAAGTTGGATAAAATTGAAAATATCGGGTTTTAAATAAATAAAAAAAAGAAGTGTTATTAACACTTTAAAAATTTTATTTTACACTCTTCACAATTGTATTTTTTTTTTCTAAATATAAAAAGTTTGAAGTGTAGAATGAGAATTTTAGAGTGACAATAACAATTCCAATAAAAAAATCGAAGATATTTTAAAAAACAGCAACCAAAAACAAGTGAACGAAAATAAGAGTAGTCTTATTTATATCATGTTTTTGTACTATATTTTCATACCACCTTAGGTGGCATTTGATGTGAACAGTTACATTATTTAAATTAATCATATTTTTTAAATTTAGTTCATTATTTAATAAAATAATAATTAAGAAAAAAAAGTTAATTAAATGATGTTTGTGGTATACGAGAAGTTATTTCTCCTTCATTTGATTGGGTTTTGTAAATTTTTCAAATGATGTAGATGTCCACCGTAGATGCCACATAAGATGATATAAAAACATAATATAAATAGCATTATTCTGGAATATTAATAATTCACGTGGTAACCCAACAGCGATCATTAAAGATGACAGTGCCTGTGTCGAGGTAATAGGGAAATTCCCTCGCAGATTACGTTTCCACTCAATTTCTCACAAAAAAAGAAAATAAATAAATAATCCTTCTCTCTCTCTCTCTCTCTCTCTCTCTCTCTCTCTCTCCCTCTCCACACACTCTCTCCCCTCCACAAATTCGTATAAATCCGATTATCCTCCGACAAACATCAATCGGCGAGAGAGTAAGAAAGCGCGAGAGGTTTCAAGGTTTGTACTTTCTAGGGTTTTACCACTCTCACAGCCGTAAAAAATTATGGGAGGTGGCGGAGTCGTGAGGTCGGTAGCAAAGGTTGCCGGGATCGGCGGCGTTGTCCACGGTGGCATACTCCGCGGCGCGCTGGGCGTTTCTTCGCCGACTGGCCATTCGGTCCGCAAGGCCTCAATTCCCGTGGCAGCGACCCTCACGGCTCAGAATAACGGCGGAGCTGAAGTGGCGGCGATCGAGAAGCTTGCGTGGGACGCTGGCGACGAATTTGTCGACTGGCAGGTGGTCGGCGCTGGAGAAGATGATCTGGTGATGTCGGGTGGCGAGCCGATGCCGAGGGTTGTCTTCGACGCTGCGCCGAGCTTCAAGGAGGCCAAAGAGGCCACCGCTGAATTGAAAGACGCCCTCGATAAGTATAATTTCTCCACAAATGAAAATGATAAATTAATTTAATTGTGTTATTTATTGTTCATATTTTCCAATGAATTTCCATTCTATTTTGTGTAGCTTGTGTTATGCTCTGTTTGGTTAACGAGAAAATAAGAGAGAAAATTGCAAAATTATGAAAATTTACTTTTCTGCAATTATTGGAAATTTACATTTCTTGTGGAATTGCTTTATTTGAATTACAAATTGCAAAATAGAAAGAGAATGTTTGAGATTGTTCTTTTCTAGTTTTTGGGAATTTTTCATTTGGGATAAATGAAATTATTGAAATGTTGAAGCCGATTTTGTTGTTGTATATGAACGGGTGAAGAAATTATGTACTTTATTTCGGTCAAATGTGGAAGAAATTAATTACGGGAATGGTTTCGGTGCGAAGAAAATAGATTTGTTGAGTTTATTGGTTTTTGAATGGAATTAACAATTTCTGATCATCCACATGACGTCGATTGATCCGTAGATGTCTTCGTTGAACATTTGCTTGTATTTGTGATTCCGTATTTTGGGAGGTCCAAAGTTTTCCCCTTGTATAAGTATGATCGGTTGGACCGTTACGAGGCACCTATTGATCTATATGTATAATCTGTAGACTAACGTTTGTTCTATCACGCGTACTGTACATGAACTTTTAGGGTATATCTTTCTTCACCCAAATCTACCGATTTTGGGGAAGTGTCTGCTGCTGATAATGTGGCTGGACTGTCTCTGATCACAAACCCTGAACCCGAGGAGATGGAATCCCTGCTTCTTGCTAGGACTTCGGTGCCGAAACATGCTCTTCATGCATTTGAAATGCTGAGTCGAAGTTCTGAAGCTCAGGTAATTGATTTCAACCTTTGCCCGTTCCGGGATCCAGTTTCTTTGAACATGAAATCTGGCGTGTGACTTTTCTTCTTAAATTGTAAAGATGGATGGCTTTGTATAATTTGTTAGCGGACTTAATTGATTTTCTTGGTTTCATGCCCCCAGAATGTTGTTGCTTCAATTGCAAGTGATCCGAATATCTGGAATGCTATGATGGAAAATTCTGCGGTCAAGCAATTTATGGCCAACAAGAACTATAATCGTTACATGGAAGAATATGCGGCAGATACCTATCCAGTTTCACACAAGAAGCTTGAAGACGAATCAGAGAAATCTGACCGCTTGGAAGATATGCTCGGTGGTTTTGTGCAGAAAATCAAGCTGACAGTGGAGAAGTGGGTCAGTGATTTTTCGTCATTCATCCAGAACATTTTCGAACCCCCTGCAGCTGAGACTGAAGCGGATGGAGGGAATACAAAGTCAGTTGTAGCATCTGCATTCATGGGACTAGCAGTTATGGTTGTTATGGTGGTCTTGCTGAAGCGTGCCTAGTTAATTCTAGGTGAATCTGCCGAAAAAACAATCCCAAATGTGTTTATCTCTGCCTAATGAGTATTGTGGAATAAATAAAAGCAAATTTGATGCCGAAAGTATTGCCATCAGATGAGCAAGCTGCGTGCGTATTTCTTTGGCGTAGGTAGTCTTTTTCTTTTTCTGTTGGTAAATGCTTAACAGATCGTTTAATCAAATAGAGAAGCTAGTTAGATAGCATGTACAGCTTATGCAGCTTCTATGGTTAACTTTCTGGGAATGTTTTGTTGTCAGGTTTTCGTTGTGATTTATGCATTTAGAATGCTTGATCTTGACTAGTTTAGCGTCTTAGGTTGGCTGACGCTATTGGCGGCTAGCCACAGCCTTGATTAATCCATAATTGTATAAAAAAAAATGACAAGGTTGAGAAACTGAGGATGGTGAGATGAATTGAAGAAAGTAATTGTTGTGTGGCTTTAGCTCCATGCCAATGGAAGAAGGTTCCTTTTGGTTTTCCTGTGTGTTTATATCTTGTTTTTAATCATTGCTAAAGTAAACAATGTCGTCCTCCGACAAATCCATCTTTCCTTTGTGTCGTCTACGATTCACATGCGTCCGATCAGGTTCCTCTCGAAAATTAGATTTGTTCTTCCAACACATATTCATAGCCAAACAGACTACAATAATGTAACTGATTCTACGTATAATTCTGAAAGTGCTCATGCAAAAATAATCGAAGAGGGGTTAGACTGATGACACCTATGTTTTTGGGCTCCCTAACCATAACTCATAAAACGAATATTGACGAAGAGAGAGAATCGAACACAAGATCGCATGCGAAGAGATAAACGTCGTTAAACGCCACAAATAAAATACAAGGTAAAAAAAAGTAAACAATGTAATTCATTTGTTACATTTGGCTGGGGTTCACTTCTGATTGGTTAAAACTATTTCTCATTACTACAAACTGTTATTTCCTACGGAGCGTTGATTACGATGAGAGTTACAAATATTGGATCTTTGTAAATCTACAAAGCTGATAGTAGCTAGTCGAGTCACTCAGCACTACGGTTTGGTGATATTCCTCTTCACTTATAAGTGAATTCAACATCAAATTAGGTTACCCATTGTGTGGCTTAACTATTTTCCCCCTCCCATCAGTGTAAAAATATATCCGTGTACTCAAGGGAAAAAAAAAAAAAAAAAAAAAAAGAAAAGATAGTAGCTAGTCGAACATTGTGGGGAGTCGGCTCTTCGGCTTTCCCATTTGGCCAAGCACGTTTCTCCTGTGCTGCCGATCATTCTTGTCTTCTGCTGTAAAAATGGATCTTCGAGACATAATTGGCGTTGCACTACTCATTACTTACGTACATGACGTCCTCCTTTAATATGTTCATCTTCCCTTTGTCTCTTCTACCGTTTACTTGTGTCCGATCAGGTTCCCCTCGCTGAAAACAACACAGATTTAACACACAGCAAATGCAAACAGACTACAATAATGGTAACAGCAACACAGTAATGAAAAATCGCATCGGGGTACTACAAGCGTGCGCTCACGGTCGCTCACCTTCCTCAAGACAAATGCCAAATAGAGATAAGCTACTTCCCATTCGTCTTTCGATAGTGTGCCTGGATATTGACAAGCGGAATGAGATGCATTATCAGACACAAGCAACCGAAACCATATTTTCACAGTTGATAGGCAACAAACTTACTTTGATCTTGGTTACCATCACCTAATGCACCAAGCCTCCGCATTAACTCCACAAATTCTGGTTTTTTCATATACTCATGCACAAATTCGTGGTTGTTCTTCATGAAAACTAGCTCCATATCATACTGCAAAAGGTGAATTCATTCATATGAATACGAGAAGATTATTAGCCTAACAAGTAGGAAAACGTTCCAGATAGCTCCCATCACATGGCAGTGTGTGCTTCTGAATGCACTTCTGTCACCGTTTGTGCTGATAACCTTAATAGCAATTTCAAGAGGATGAAAGAAGAAAGTATACCTCTTCAACCAGCGATTTGAAAACATGAAAGGGGACAATCCATTCCGGGCAATCAACAGCATCCTCCAGGTGAAACTTGTACTTGATACCAAAGGGGCTCGAAGACTTGAATTTCTGCAACCATACAAGAAGTATTTGTCAAATTAGGAATAATTGCAAATAGTTTATAGATTCTAATGTCTCGGGTTGGAGAATAGCCAAATTGAAAAACAAAGCATCTGAGTAAAGTCATACCTTTTCAGAAAAGTCATCATCAAAACGTATCCAGTAGACACTATTACCAAAGACCAATCCTTCAGCTGGACATCACAACGAAAATAGGATCTCCGATAAATAATGGTTAAAGTAGTCTGCTATGCCCAAGAATCTTAATGCTAAACATAAGAGAATGAAATGGGAAATACGTATTTCTAATGAATTTCACCATCTACTCGCCCAGAGAGAAAATATTGCTTATGAGACAAATGACAGTTATCAGAGTGTGAAATTTGTTTCCTTTTTGTAGGTCACAGTTTAAAATGACTCTCAAAGGAAATGAATCAACAAGGAATAAAATAAACCTTCTCTAAGTTTTTTGATAATCACATTCGCATCGGGCATTGTTCCAATAAAAGTACCGCCAGGTCGCAGTAAAGCCGATACATTAGCCAAGGCTCGCCGCGCACGTGCCTCAGTAGACCAGGAATAATGCAAGGCAAACTGCAAAATAAAATGTGTTTTAATGGGTCAGTTTCAAAGGCTTTCCTCCCCTCAAATCTTTTAATTACTATACAGTATAAGGTAGAAACCAGAAAGCCATTAGTGCCCGAGAGGCTCACCTGGCAACTGACAACATCAAAGGGGGCATCGTCAGCCAGGACTTTATCCAGGCGAACCTGAAACCATGCAAATACATAGCATTAATAATCATATGGTATACAAGCACCACACAGCGTTTCCACATATGCTGCTTCCTAATGGCTTCTTTTTTGATAGAGAGCAAAAGCAAGCTCCCTAGGAACAAAACAATGGCTTAGTTAGCAGCTATTAATTTTGCAATTACCTCATAGCAATCTCCACACATAAGATGTGCGGGAAATGTAAACTTTTTACGACGCTGATGATGGTCGGCATCGCCATTGTAACGGGTACGACAATCTTCTATCTGTACAAATATTTGAACACAATAATAAGATGGTTGATGACGGCACACTTTTAAAAATAATAACACTGTGGGCAAGAGGCTGACAACAAAAATGACTTCCAACACTCTTGCTAAGGTCATGAGAAAAAATGTCACTCATTTTTCATCGGACAAATACATACACAAAAAGAATATTTCATACATGAAAGAGAAGGATGACATTCAAAAAGATCTTTACTGTCATAAAAACTGGGAAATCTATCACTACATGATGAGATGGTGCAAATAAAAGAAAAACTAAAAGTAAATCACAAGCAAAGAAAAAACAGAAGTTGCTTAGGTCGGAAAAATAGCCTTCAACCCTCTCAAGTCTCAACTCACCTACGGAATAATACCATATCATCCTAACCTGGATTTGTCCACATGACACAGTTTGCCAAACTCATACCTCGTTTGACAAGGAAAATACTTTCCTTCCATACCAAATAAAAACTAAACAACTATCGAAAATAAAATTTTTCCCAAACATTAATGAATTGAATAGAGGACACTTCACAATAGCAATAATGTAAGACAAATATAAGTCAATAAGTACTAATGCAAATTTTCCAACGTTGATTAAAAGAATAGATGACAATTCACAAAAGCTATAATGTCAGGCAACTAGAAGTCTATTACTACTGATGCAAAATTACACATCCTGAAATGTAGGTTAGTGGTTGTGTAGAAATACAGCAAAAAATGGTCCTCGAATCAATTTTTCTACTCCATTAAAAGATAAATAGTTGACTACGATGAAGAGCTTAAAACAGACCCAACAAAGCTTTTATCAAAAAGAAAAATGATAACAAACTAAGTATAACCAAATTTAAGTACTTACCGAGCCTTCAGCGATATCAATTCCAACATAATACGCAATTTTAGCCTTGTCCCATTTGATGAGATCACCTCCCTAGCCAATAGAATACATTCAAAAGAGAACGTTTAGCGGAAGGAAGGGTAAGAGAAAATATACAAATGAACCAGCAATACCTTGCCACATGCAAGATCCAGGACAGCATCTCCTCTATGAGCATATAGCTGGATTAAAACACTCTTAATCTGGTCAACAGGATAAGGAACTATAATCAACTAAAAAGTAAGGAGTGTGATCAAACCATTTTGGAGTATTTCGAAGACTAAAAGACAAACCCAATTGTTAAGCTTCTTTAAATGGATGATTGGACTAGCTTCTCGTTCTTCTAGAGTTTGATTTGTCCTTGCACTGTAATGATCGGCCACTTTACGTGCGAATTTTTTTGTGGTTTCATCCTCCAAGAACTCTGAATCACCTAAGACCACAACGTAATAAACCATGATTAGAAAAACATGAAGACATATTGTCCTATGTTGGCTATTACACACACACATAGGCAAAAAAGTAAACATACATATTTGCTTTCCTTTGTTTTTGCTATAAAATATAGTAAGAACTAGAAAATTCAAAATTTTAGTCAAATTCCCTTCTTCTCAGTTTCCTCTGTTACAAAATAAGTTGGGGAACTAAAAATCCCAGGTTCGAATTAATCACCCTAGTAATCAGGCACACAAAATAAATGAATAAAGGGTAAATTGGCAATCCAAGACACGAACAAATAAGAAAAAAAAGGTTCAAACTTGTACAATTCTCTTCAAATTCCTTCACTTTATCAGCAAAAACCCACAAACCCAGATCCAAAAACTCCCAAAATAACCAAAAAGTTTGCGAATTCAGCACAAGGAATCACAAATCCGAACCAGAAAACAAAAGGGTTTATGTCATTTACCTTCTGGGTTGTGCTTGAATCTCGATTGGGGAGGCCCGAGAGAGGTGGAGGACGATTCGGAGTACCCTCGTTTCATGGG